AATTTACACAGGGGAAATTAATTTGTAATTATTCCTATCGTAAAGCCATGTGATGAGGATGATAACATTTTGTAGGCTTAATTAAAATGTCAGGATTTCAACCTGAAGTTTGTGGTCTCTTCTTCCATGTTATTCACAAACTTTATTCGAGTCCATTTCTGGGTAGTAGAACTTTACTTTCTTTCTTTTCATAAACCTTAATGTTCTATTCTCGTGAAGTTGGGGATTTGACCTCTGTAGAAACTATTTGCATCAAATTACAAAAGAAAAAAGTGTGATATTCGATTAAAATCCTTCTTTATAATTCCTTAAGTTCTTTTTGCTAAAAAAAGGGATTGGTGTAAAATGTGGAGGTTGGAGGCTCCAAAGTGAAGTGTCACAATGCAGGAGATGGAGTCTTTCGAGTCAGTTTATGCAAGAAGTAGAGCATCTTGTTGCAATTTTAGAACTTGCTTATTAGATCTGTCATCCCAATTTCCTATTATCTAAAAAAAATTCTTTTGACTGAATAAATCTATTTTATCCCGAAACTTAATTTGTGTAGATAATTTCAATTTTTAAGATAACGGAGACTGAATGAAACAGAAACAACATTCAAAATGAACCCTAAGTGCATTATTTTCATTTTTCGCAAAAGATGGAGAAACGAATAAACAACAAAATGAAATCAGCTTAAAAAATTACCTTTAAATATTTTCTGGCCCAGCGGTTCTTGTGAATAAGAATTTCAAAAGGTGCACCAAATTTTCACAAATTCTTTATTATCTCCCCCCGTAAAAGGGTGTGGCCCTTCATTTGAAGAAACTCTAATCCCCTTCACCAAGTGATACTCTGTGCCAAGTTTGCTTGAAATTGGCCCATTGGTTCTGGAGAAGAAGATGAACTTGCAAATTTATATCCTCTCACTGTTTGAAGTTCAAACCAGTACAGCTAGAATCTCATCAAAGAATCTGATCACTTAATTCTCAAAATATTGTTCCTAAAAGATTTTGCTAGTATTTTCCATTCTGAATACTTGTTGAGTATAATATGAAGTAGAAAGTTAGGAGACTGGAATTTATGCTTGTTTTTACCGTATGCAGGGCTAGTGAAAATCCTTCTTCAAGCAAACTTTTGACATTTTTTTGTCGTCCTTACTAAACCTCGCAACGAACTCTATGTACTTTTTTTATCGAATTTAATTCACTTTAGTGCTTATGTTATCTAAGCGTTAATTCTGATTAAATTTCAACAAGCAGTACCATGTGGACTGAGACTCTGGCATATTCAAACTGCATGTTGTGTTTTACTTTGTTTTGCACTCTGGAGTCTTTCTGAATTATCGTCATCGCTCTCCTACATCAATACCTGGTATTTGTTTCTGTACAGTCAAGGCTTCGGGTATTGAGTATTAAACAAGCCCACTAATTATTCGAACTTATTTATTCATTGGTGTTCTGTTGAATTATAGTTCATACAGCTTATAGTCAGGGCCTTCGAATTTCCATTCAAAGAGCGACGACGTGACTTCAAAGTATATGAAATCGAAGTATATTATATTTGACAGACGTCAGAATAATCCTGAAATGGTGTTGTAATCTTTAATGTAGTTATTTTATAACGCTACATGTGCATTCTTTTTCATTGTACTTTGAAAGACCTATTTGAAGCAAGAATTTTTTTTCCCCAAAATCAATACACACCTTTTCACAAGTCAACAAAACCCCAAAATATCCTCCTTGATATTGTTAAGATAAATAATTTTCGGTTGGAATGGTATAGACACAATTTTCTCCACGGTAACCACTCAGTCCGTGGAGACTTCACATTTCGTCAATCAATTTATCCAATCCTGCTAAGGTGTCGACGAGAAACAAGAAGAATGATTTCTGTCTTCTACCGAATGGATAACTAAATCACACGGGGGCCAGAAAATCTGCTGTATCGAATTTTGAAGTCTGTCACTGGGTTGTATCTAGGATCAAGTTTTGGTCTCCAGTACAGGGTTATCGATGTAACGGTAAGAATAATATTGAAATACTTCTGCACCTTATATAAGAAGGGGTCAGAACACTTCCTAGCAAGATCGATATAAAAATAAGTTTAAGAGGGATTTTAAACAAAGAAAAGGGAGAGAAGCAATCTTTATTATATGCTAACGTCATAAAGCAGACGGCATCATTATTATATTTACGTTATAAAGAAGCCACTGGTTAATTTGGTTATTTGAGATCACGTGTTTTCAAAGTTTTTAAAAATTTCGGTCATTGCAGTGAAGGACACAAGAAGAAATTTATTATTTTTAAAGGTCATCCGAGTGTGACGTTTAATCGGTTTTTTGAGCATTCAATTGTATACATGATGGTGTCACCAACGGAAAGCTACGGAAAATCACAAGTAATGACAAATCCCTTTCCGGAGTGGTGGTCAAATTCCAGTATACTTTTAGTCTGTTAATGTAGATAGATTGTTACACTGCATAAATAAAGAAGAAGTATTTTTCTGCGTCAGTTACTACAAAGCATGTGATAAAATTTATTTTATCTACTACGGTACTCAATTTACCTGATCAAACACTTTCAAGTTTAAATCAAAAAGGCCTACGGTGGATACATTTTTGTTGACAATATGGCTCACTTACATGAATAGTAGTAAAATAAAACCAGAAAACTTTCGATGCATTAAAATTGTTGCTTTAAAATCCACAGTTTATTATATTTTTGTAAATTGCTTATTTTCTTAATTTTGTCATAATCAAGCAGTTATATTTCTTTCAGGTTAAAATCACAGTCCATGATGCCTCTGACTAATATTTCACCAAAGGGATGTTTTTGAAGATTCGATTCTAAATACCATTATCTAGCAAACAAAGGCGGTTTATTGTCAAGAAATTTGCATGTATTTCTTAATACAAACATATTACATGCATTGTTATGCAAACAATCCCAGTCATACAATACATAAATTAGATTCGTAAAATAAAAATAATGATGATAAGCAGGGATGAGAGGAGTTGTGATGTTCTTCTGATTTAAATGGGTAATTAAGGATTGTTATGAATAATAACAGCTTGTATCTGATAAATTCTATTCTGTTTTTACTATGAGAACAGTCCAAATTATTCCAATATAATACTCCATTTATAAATCTCTGTGGGAAAGTTGTGAGTTTGTTTGATCTATAAAGGGTTACCCTAGTCCTCCGGAAATGAAAAAAATCACAAAGAGAAATGTTCAAGATGGAAACCTTTTAAAATTCAAATTGAAAGCGTTAAAGTAAAGATTTTCTATATCGCTTTTTGTGGAGTATTGTCTCCGATGCGGATCATCGAAGGATTGATATTAAAATGTTTTGTCTGAAAACAAAGTTTAAATGACGACTATATACTTATCGCTATCACCAATTATTCTATAGAAATAAACTACTAGTGCAAAACCCGTCATCGTTTCTCATTTCTTGTTAATGAACATGTACGTTGCATAGTCATACCCGATAATGGGGGGAATAGAGGGCGTTCGTTTCATTAAGTTGTTGATCGCTTTTATCATGAGAATATTTCAATAATGGTGACGTTTCTACGATCCAATGTATTGCTACACGATCTTCGACTTCCTTTATTTTGTTTTTTTCTGAAGATGAGTTGACACGTGACAAAACATGACAAGATGAGCTTTATTAGAGTCTAAAGTAAAATGGAGCATTAAAGAATGCATTCTCAAAATTCCTTACAGCTTAAGTTGAAAATAAATACATGATCTTACTTTTTAAGTTATTTTTTTTTTAATTATTTCTTATAACCATTTTCCAGCAAAGTTTATATGATACTATAATGTATTTCCTCATGCAGAATATGTTTTAATCACTTTCTAGCTGTTAACTGACAGAAATATATCTGCAGAGATCGTGTGATTGAGTCAGAGAAATATATCTGCAGCTCATATGGTTGAATTACCAAAAATATACCTGTAGCTTCTGTGATTGAATCCCAGGAATTAAAAAAAAGGCTCATGGGCCACAACGCTCATCAGACTCATTATGGCCCTGCTGTTCATCAACATTGGTATAAAAACAAAGGCTTAACAAGTGGTATGAAACAAGGAAGTTTCAATACCACCCATTGATAAGTTATATTCGCTAACCAGGTCATTGATGACTTAAAACGAGATTGTTTAAATCCCTGTAACATCGACTTATCTGTCAGTAGTTTGCCTCCGTTTAAAAAATGGTCGCACTCGGACTCTCGGAGCGCTCTTGAGTATCGAATAAGATGACACAAACAGACAGACGCCGGACACCCTTCAATTAGAAAAGTTTACTTGAACCTTCGGCTCAGGTGAACTAAATAGTCTCTTTAATTTGTTGGCAGTTTCGCTTACTTTCACCAATGAAAATTAAATACTTAATACTTTACGTCATACGCAAAGTGCATGTATGTAATTTACAAAGTACAGATAATTTTCCGAAATATTCTCAAATTAAATCATAATACCATTAGATTTTCTTACACACACAAAAAAAATTTCGAATACATTTCCAGTTCTGAACAGATTTCAAATGATGAAAATTAAAAAAACAACAACAAACTTTTAGCTGGTATTTTTAACATTTGATTCAGAAAAAGGTTTACAACATTAATACCAGATATCATGAAATTGCACAAAGGTCCTTCAATAATTATAACTCTTAAATTATACAGGAATTAAGAAAATAAAGATCAAAGTATGTTGCGTATGTCCATAAAAGAAAAATTATACACAGTAATTATCATACCTAAAGTAATTATAATTTTTCTTGTTTTTCAAGTTTAGAAAAGCACCTTACTCGCGCCAGTATTGCTTTTATGCCTCTGTCAGTTATTTTCTCTAGTTTTCTTTCAACTATGTCAGCAATTCGATTTGCGCAAAAAAGTCTTTAATTTTAAAAGTCTATAGAGTCATCACCTAAGTATTGATTGACTGTTCCACGGCAAAGCGCGAGTTGATTTATCACATAGTGTACATAGAGAACGGTTCCAGAAGTCGGCTATCTGCTCTCACTGCATTATCAATCTGGTCGCCGTGCTCAATAAGGAACCAACTTCGTGTGTTGTAATGCATCTCCTATGGAAGTGCCGAAAAACTGTATCCGTGCTTAATTTCACGAACGGCGTTGCTGCAAATGTTATTTTTCGGCAGTAGAATGCTTGATTTAAAATATCAATTAAAGCTCTGAAGTGTCATGTCGGTTGAAGACTCACAATGATTAGTAATTTTGGATTTTTTATTTAACGATGCGAAAATGGATAAATATCGTTCGCGTGAGGAAAACAGCGTAATCAAGATATCTCTTCATCTTAAGATTTTGTATGGAATTTTATTTATCAATTGCTCAGTAACGTTTCTAATGATAATGATGTGGTACACGAGTTACATTGGTGGTCAATGTACAAAAGACGACTTCCAAGATAGACAGGAAGTCCGTATTTCAGCAATATCTCACATGAACCTTACAGAAGACAAATCAGAAAATACCAAGAGAAATCGAAGATCGTACACTGCAAATGTGAGTAAATCATTTCCAGTAATTTTTATAAAAAGTATACACGAGAAATAATCAAGTAACTAAACAAGGTAAATTTTTAGCAAAGCATACGTTAGCTTCAATTGTAAAATGTAAGTCAGGTTTTCAGTTTATAGAAATCGAACTCAAATGCACTCTTTCAGAACACTTAGCAACTACGGATTACCTTACCTTGGCTTATTGTAAAAATTTCAGGCATTTTGCAAAGTTCTTCCCCGCCCCCACCTTCAACCCCAAAGTAAAATCTTCCTAGACATTAGCAATGGCGTCACATACTGGTGAAATAATATTTTGACAAAATCCCACAGATCAAACTCGTATCTGACTATGTCGTCCGCGTGGCGCAGTGGTAGAGTGTCAGCTCTAGAGTCGCGGAGTAAGGAGCTGATCCTTACGACGCGAATTCAAATCCTACTGCGGGACATGGATACCGGTCGTATGAACCGGTCCAGTGTCGCAGTAGGTGCTGGCACAAAAAAGATCCCTCACTGCTTAATGACCCTAAGTGCCGAGTATATGTCTACGTTTCTCCGTTGCAGTCGTCCACCGGCAAGTGTTGGAATCTCCATATGGGTGAAGTATTCTCGAGATAAACGTTAAATAACAAACACACATATCTGACCAGAGGTACTGTGAGCACTGAGCGCGCAAAATGATATCTCCTGCTCCAATATGACTATGATGGCAAGGTCCTTTTTTTTCCTACGAGAAACCCCAAATATCTGTCTGATCAGAACACAAAATAGGAGGTGTATAATGGCACTATGTCAATAAGAATCTGTGAAAGTCTCATTAAATTTTATTCAGTACTACAGGAAGAGTTGTGGATAAGAGATGGGTACCCCGAATATTATGGAAAGAATGGCAGTGTCCAGGTTTTGCAATTATAAACCCTAAATGGGACTATGCAATACAGATTCTGTGAGAGTTTCATTTAATTTTATTCAGTGGAACACGAGGAATTACAGATAAGAGATGGGTACGCCCGTGTTATGGATGTACGGAAAGAAGGACGTAGGATGAACGGACGGACACCTCCATCATAATATACCCCCTTTTCTCATGCGGGGGTTATAAAAATAAATTGATAATTGAATAATTAATGTATTGGGCCAACCACTCAGTAATTTTATAATTTTTACACATGTGTTGTATGCATGTTTTTGTTGTTAAATTACAATGAGTGTTCAATCTAAACTTATTTATGATTTATCATATCGAATTTTTTTATTGGAGAACTTTTATGATACTACTAAGTAATACAAACAACAAATTTGAACAAATTTGTCATGTAATCATTTTCAACTTAAGATTGAAAATTAATTAAAAAACAATACTTTTCTGTGTCAATTTGTGAAAGATATGTTTTGAGCGTCTATATGAATAAAACTGTCAGGATTATGACATAAAAAATAAAATGTGAGGATAATCATGAGCAAGATCATTCTCAAAAGTCTATTTAAACAATACAATTTATGTGCAGATCCGAAACAGACCCCTGAAAACAGGTGGGATTAGGTGCCATGGAGGAGTAAGCATTCTCTCTGACTGGTCATACCCGGTGCTCTATGTCATGATCAGGTAAACGGATAAATCCGTAGTCAAGTCAGTGTAAATGTAATGGCCTAACAATCTGTATGAAAGTCAATATTGACCAAACGGCACTTTGTATTTGCAAATAAGATCACTGTATCGACAATAGAATTTGTAAAATATTGACCTAAAATGAGATTGTTGATATCCTGGTGTCATCAACTTATTTGTCAATGCCAATAATGTTCTCTTACTTGTTAATAATATTTCGTGAACATGAAGTACAGTGAACATAAAGTGTATTATTAACTTGATAAACGTGTTTCAAGGAGGCAATGATGAACAAATTACCATCATACAGGAACACAAATAGGATGGTTTTATAATTCATGGAAAAAACCCAAGGGACTTCTATAAAGACTGCTGGCTAAACAAACCTATGAAAATATACAAATAAAAGTTAAATCAGCGATAAATTGTTCAAATGCGGGCTCTTTCAGACATCACATAGCCTGATGGAAAATGACTTGTCAAAAAGAACAGGACAAAACTGAGTGTACATATATATGTAATTTAAGATGAAAGACATCATGAAAATTTTATGACTTTTACGTTCAAAAAATTCAGGCGCCACGATTAATTGAAGCTTTCTGACTGCATTTTTATAACCAACATTGGCAAGAAAAGACGAGACTTGTTAAATTATAAATATTCCATGCACGAAGGTGAGGGAAGATGATATATGGGTAATTCTTGTACCTAATTGTTGAGGGAAAAAAGGAAATATTGAAAAGTTAAAGATATACACAAGGTTGTTTAATGTCCCGTTCGAGAATTTTTCACTCAATAGAGACGTCACCATATACCGGTGAAAGGCTTCGAATTTAGACCTTTACTCGGCACTCTGGGCCATTGAGCAGTGATGGTTCTTTATCGTGCCATTGTCTATCGTGACACGGGGCCTCGGTTTTTAAAGTCTCATCCGAAGGACATGCAACTTTCACTTCAAAATGCCGAGCGCTTCGCGAAGGAACAGTTGCTACCTATTTTTTATCGACTTAGGTCAGTCGGGGCCGTGATTCGAACACACGACCGTCCAGTTACGGAGCGAGCGCTCTACCGACTGAGCTACGATGTTGGGGTTATAAAAAATTGATAATTGACGGTCAAAGTTAAAAGAACAATACACACACCCCGTGGTCATCATCTCTTATACACACACCCCGTGATCATCATGTCATTTCATGTCACATACATGTATACTGTCAAACTACTGGATATCACTAAAAGTTTTCTTTAAAAAAAATGTGATAAATAAGCACATGTCATTTTACTGACGATCGTCTGTCTAATTCTCTCTATCATGTGTAATTTTTGGCGTCTCTAGAACCACTAGTACTGGTCCAATGACAACCAGCCTTGACACAAAGCTGGAATTGGTGAACGAAATATTATTTCAAGTTAGTTCAAGTTATTTCATTGAAAGTTTAAATTAAAAATAGGGTAATGTCCTTAACAAAAACATTTTCCATTTTACTTGCTTTTCATTTTATTAGAATATACAATGTATATCTATGTTACAACATTTGAAAGTATGTTGGAACGTTGATGTTCAACGAAGAAGACATAAATTCAGTACACATATGTACTGGAAAACAACATCGTGGTGTTAATTTTATCCTATAACTCATGACAAGGCAGTTATGTAATGTTAGCGTATACAGAAATTCTTAATATCAGTACTAGAAGTGTTTCCATTTTAAAGATTTGTTGTAAGCCAGTGAGGGACATGTTTCCCATGGTAACAATCTCAGCTTGATTACAGTATCAAAAAGGTTCATCTAAGATTTCTGGTAAATAAGATTACAAATGTGCTACTTTGTTTCATTATAATGAAAATTTCTTGAAAGAAAAATGCATTTTGATCGAGTGCATCTAACCCATATATATGTACATGTTATTAATTATACGTATGTTTCCTAAACGATTCTTGCCAAACCACGAATTTATACTTGATTGCAAAATTTAAAGTTTCGTTGAAAAATACAATTTTGCTTTCATGTAATTGTGAGCAACAATTATTCAAAACGAACAAATACGAGAACTCGCTCATGATTGTTTAAAAATTGCACAATTTATTATTTATAAAATATGATACAAAAAACTGATACACCTGGAAGAGTCCTGGATAATTTATAAAGGAAAAAAAATTCTGAATTCAATGTGCGTATTTTTAATTTAAAAATCAAGAATTGGCTTTTAGTAGAAATGCATTAACAGAAATTCTTGAATCGTCAGAAAGAAGTATGAAAATTAAGTTTCTTTTTTGGGAATTGGTCCATTGGAATGTTTCAATTCAATTCGAAGTTTTTCTGCCAAACAATCATACATAATTAATGGATGCCACTAAGGACCAAACTTCACACATCTTTATAGATTGGTATCGAAGAATCAATAAGAGTTAATAAAAATCGAGTTGGGAGGTCATGTCTTGTGTATTAAATGGTTATAAAGCAAAAGGAGAGGGGGAAGGAGAGTTTTGTGTGTGGTATGGTCTTCCGTAAATTGCAACTAAATGTGTTGTGACATGAAGTACTGACATTGCCAGCAGTACTGTCGGATAAAAAAGATATTTATTTTACCAAAAAAAACTTATTACAGATAATGAAAGACGAACACTAAACATTTTCAGTGATCTTGTAATATACATTGTAGCTCTATAAGTCCAGTTAAAGTTATTTCTTCTTGCTCGGGGTACTTTTACAATAGCAAGGGAAGAACATTCAAAACCTTAATGCACAGCCAGTATGTTGAGACACAATTGTTGGGGAGATTAATTTTTAAATACTGGCTTATATAGTGTATGTGATCAATTAATGTCAATTAATTTTAAAAAAAACTTGATGAAATCCCGCGCAAGCGCAAGGAATTGAATTTTTACTACGGCTAACAGAATAATTCCAGTAATATATCATAGTTTCTACTGAAAATTAATAGCAGGCATATAGCAGGAAGAAATACTTTGTTCAAAATCCTGCATCTGATTTAGGAACAGAAGTTCCCCTCTTTTTCTTTTTTTTAAATTCAAAATGCTTTCTTCTTTGTTCAGGTCTGACGATACTTTCATAGAATATCTGATTTTGTATATTTATCACCGTTAATATCTTTTGATTTTTAAACTGGTTTCAAAATGCCTTAAAAGATGTAAACAGCAAAAACTGTGATATCAGTAATCCATGTGATATAAAAATAGGATTATATAGAAGATACAAGCTCTGGTATTTTGCACAAATGCCTGGTAAGGAACCTCAATTTTTTGTGGAAAAGCTTGTTAACGTAGCAATACTTCAATCACAAGTTCTTTAAAAATTTAGATATTAATGAGGAACGTTTCGTCTGACCTTAATGCGGGGATCGACGGTTCCAGTATTGTAGAGAAAATACATAAC